CTGTCTGTCTCAGGCTCTGTTGCCTTTTCTTTCTCTTCACTGCTGATCCGTCTCTGATCTGTTACTGGATCTGGATCTTTTTTTTTTGCCCCCACCGAAATAAAGCTATACGTTTCAGAAGAGCTGATAAAAATGGAGACGACTTAACTGCTTCATCCCTGCTTTCAGAACATGGGACAATAATTTGAATTCAACTCACTGACATTTTTAGTATCTGGGGTCCGCCCATGTCACTGACGGTCGGGTTGGACCCCTGAAGATGTCTTTGGGTTTCACTCAGATTCTGTTATGAGCTGCAGAAAAGGGAGAAATTGGGTAAATGATTATTTTAGTAATTTCTCCCGTTCCTGCAGGTGAGCTCAGAGGGCAGGACGTCGGCTCCCTGGATGCACAAGAAGCCACAAATAAAGCTGAAACTCTGACTTCATGATTTGGTTCTGAAATTGCCTGTGAATGTTTTATTGACTTTATCCGCAACGTATTTGCAGATCGATTTCTCCTCCGCATGTCAGACGGATAATTATCCCGGCGACCAGTAATTACTGTCCCCACACATTGTCAGTTACTACACTGGCTGCCATATGCACAGTGTCTACGGAAAGCACGGCTGCTTTCAGAGGAACATCTACACATCCCACCAGACGGTTTAGACACCAATGACAGTGAGTGATTTATGCAGCACGAGAGGACATTCTGACAAACCATCTGAAGGTTATGGGTAACTCCTCACCGGCTGATTTAGTAACGTCCTAAAAGCAGCGCCTCTGTCAGCCCTTTTTTTATCCCATAGGTTTTTATAGTAAGAGTTAATGAAGCAGTACATTCCTGTCAGCTGAGCAAAACACACAAACCATAAATACTCTCTCTCCACTGTGGACTGTGGGTTGCTGGTCGTTATGCTAGAAATGCACGTCAAAGCAGCGGCATCATCAACAGACAATGACGTGTTTACCGCCCGGAGAAACCGCCGTAGCATCAACAAACACACACTGGAAAATAGTCATCACTGTCAGTGTCCAGGCTGAACTCATGACTCCGGTGTTTTTTTCTGGGATCCGGCTGAGGCTGCTCTTTGAGAGGCGGTTGGATGTCACTTGATGGAGCATCACAGCCGTCCCTGCAGGCTGTAAACCTCCACATTCTCATACAACCAGTGGAGTCTCAGTTAAAGTACCTGAAACTGCACATAACGCAGTGGTGGCTCCATAACCCGACACTAAATGTAAAACCTTCTTCTATGTCGGATAGCAAGACTGTGGGATTGTCCAGACGGAGGTCCAGATACGAGGAGGGCTTGATGCTGGAAGGCTCATTAGTTGTTAATATTTATTGTTCATAGTTGTTATAATAACTAGTGTGTTGTTAGGACACTACACATCGCTGGACTTTAGCCTAACAACTGACCGGTGCTCTGGTGTACGGGCCGTCGGTCGACATCAAAGGTGAATACGTTCAGACAGCAGCTGAAGTGACCCAATCCGATTTTTTTTTGCCCCTATGCGACCTGGATCTGGTCTGTTCATCACAGTCTGAACAACACAGGTCCAATTAATGATGAATATCAGAGTATTTGGTGCAGTTGGGGGTGGAAGTGGAAGTGTCCAGAACACACAGGCAGTACTTGGCTGCTGATGCTAGTTTAGTTAGCGCTCACACTTCTGTTTCCTCCATCGGTGGCGGCGGGGGAGTGGCAGATACGCTCCACCGTTACCATCCATGTTTACTTCCATAAACACTGAGCACGCTCTGCACATGCAGACTGTCGCTATGTTAAGGCTGTTTTTATGGGTTCTGTTGGTTTTTCCTGGATTCTTAAGGGTCGATTATGGAGTCATGCCTGTATAGACATTTTCATTGTTTTTAATCAGGTTTTCTTTCCTTACATGGATGCTACTCACAGACTGATGAAACTGACAAACTTTCCAGCGATGCCGTAATGACGACTAAACCAGTACAGAATACTTTTCCTCCAACCAATCGCTGTGGATGAAGTGAAGCAGCAGCAGGTAGCGACGTTCTGTAGAAGCTGCTCTCAGACACTCAGAGACACTTTAAATGCTTAAATGTTATCACTCCAAGGATTTGTTTTGTTTGGGTTTTATATACGTGTGGATTAATGCAGCTTTTTTACCTTCTTTTTTTTCCTGTTATTTAAACATGAAAAGCACTTTAAAAAAATCACAAGTTGAAAGTGAGATCTTTTTTTCAATAAACAATCCAATTAGTCACTTTTCACCTTGTATATATACACACGCATATAGTAGTATTATTTACTTCATTTTATCTCCTTTCCACTGTTTGAAAATTTAATTGATTTATTTTTGCTTATTTTTTTATCCCTATCCCTACTCATATGTATATATTTATTTCTTATTATTTATTTCTTGTGTGTTTTATTCTTTATTCTTCTTCATCTTTTTCATATTGCTTCGGTGTGGAACAGGTGCACCAATAAAGGCCTTGAATCCTTTTTAACATCTGTCACTGGCTGGTCTGAAAGGCCTGTTGTTTTTAAAAAATAGCCTAAATCAAAGAACTTATTCATGCAAGAAACTGAAAAATCCTTTGGGGAAAAAAAACCAAAATCCAAGCAAAAATATTGCCTATTTTTGACTCAGCAGATTCCAACAAAACCTCTAAAATATTTATTAAAGAACGAAAAATGCATGATTGTTTTATTTGTGTGACAAAAACACACGTGTGCTTCAATCATTTCACCATAGAAAACGTTAGAAGAATTATTGGAAACTTGCTACTGCAATAATGGTCTTTATAAGTGTGTGTGTGTGTGTGTGTGTGTGTGTGTGTGTGTGTGTGTGTGTGTGCGTGTGAACGGGATTCACATTTACATTTGCACTGATGGCACACAGATGTAGCCGTGGTAATGACGGCTGAACACTCATCCAGGAATCCTGACTGTGTGTGTGTGTGTAGGTATGTGTGTGTGTGTGTGTGTGTGGTATTCAGCATTTAGCCTTGAAGGTTTTTATAAGTGGAACAATTACTACGCCGGCAAAACAGCATATGGAGAGCGAGTGAGCGTCGGGTGTGTGAGGGGCTGAGCGCCGCCTCTCCGACCCAAACGCCTCCCCGGCCGATCTCCTGCACGTATCCCTCGTCTTCGCTCTTCGCTTTCTGTTTTTCCCGGCGAGGGCAGCGGAGATGGAATAACAGCAGGGCTGGGAAATGGAGATGTGTTGCTCTTTATGCAAATCAAATACCAGCATTGCCATTCATTTCCTTCAGAGCACCCCGAGGACAGAGAAAGGAGCTGAAAGCAGTGGGGAAAAGCAGCAGGGAGGAGTTGAGGCCAGGTCAGCTTTGAGCAAATATTTTCACAAAAACGAAGCAGTGTTTTGTGAAGGCCAGCCACTGATCAGTATTCAGGCCGGCTGAGCCCAGTGCAGCATTGAGTTACAGTTCTCAGCAGCCTTGACCGGCCCGTACACTGCAGTGGAATTTACATAGCGGTTAACGCGTGAGCCCCAGTCGATGACTGCTGCTCCACTGTGACTAGTGATGTGGACCTGGCTGGACTCGGTGCTGGGCAGCAGAAACATCACATCATTATCGTTTAATTTCTTCAGCAACATGTTAAGTCTGATTTAAATCTGACAGCAATTGGAAATGCATGATGCCGAACACTTGAATCTGTTGTTTGCTCGGCTAGAACTTAACGGAAAGGAAAAGAAAGAAGCAAGAAAGGTGAAGAGTTCATCTGCAGATGCAGATACCTTCACAAACCTTCAGAAAACCCATCGTCTACCTGAGACAATACCAACCAAACCTAAGTTATCTCTGTGGTTGTCATCTCTATCCACTCAGCTTCAGCTTGATTGATTTTGTCTCAAGCAAACAACAACAAATAAACAAGTTTTCTGAAAAACTACAAAAATGGAGTTATCTGTTTTAGCAAATGAACTCTTCATGTGTTCACTCTGAGACCAACCAGCGGCTCAAACACAACAAATACTGAGACATAAATGGCACAAAACATCTCATGCACATCATATACAAATGCTCAGACTGTTTTAAACCTTTGCTTTAATTCCATTGTCGCTATCTTTAGCAAAAAAGTGAACAGAGAAGACAGAATGAGCTGCTTTATTTTGGTGTCCACAAGTTGCAAAAACTGAAATCTGATCAAGCTGGAGTATTATAGATATATCAAATATATGCTTATTTTTGTCTGATAGTTCTTCTCAATGCACAATTTCTACATGAGACTGTTTCACTTGTTTTAAGTATTTTGGTCCTTTAATATCTTAATAAGATATTCCAGCTCTTTACTTAGATTTATTTTTAACCTATTCTGAGTCAGTACATGTTTGAATCTAGACTATCAGCAGCTACAAAGCTGCTTCATCAACACCTAAAAGTGCAGAAACTGTTTTTTCAAAGAAACATTTTCTTCTTTCAGTCTTGAAATGAGAAGTCATGACTTTGATTCCATTTGAATCAAGAAAAATGTTCTAGTTATGAGTGAAAACTCACTCATGTTCAGGTTTGGCTCCACTCAGGTATTTGGACTTGTGTTGGGAAGTCTTGACAAGTCAAATATTCCTGTTCTGTTGGCAGATACTTTTGCTGATAATAAGTCATATAAAGTCATTTTTTGTATTTTTTTCTTCTTTTTATGAGCTGACTTTTTGCAGCTTCACAGTTATGTGGAAAACAGCTTTGGTTGGAGGATGATGATGATGAAATGTGATCTGAATAAGAAGGAATTTCTCCAAAACTCTGCAGATATTTAACAAACGTGTGTCTTTAAGAGCTCGACCCACAGATGCTGTGTTTGTTGAAACCAACCGTAGCTTCAGTGTTTGCCGATGACAGACTCGTCCAAACTGCTTCTTTCTTTTATACGATATGATTTTTTCACCCGAACATCTTTGCAGGTTTTGAAGCTGTTGTCACTCTCTGACGAGGAGCTGAACTGTAATGAGTGCAGTGCGAATGCCGGCAGCCCTCCAATGACGCTTCTCTTTTGCTGTCCACAGAGCAACCTCCCAACCACCACGGCTCCACCCTGCCTCCTGTGCCCCCCCCTCACCGCCAGCAGCCCTCGGTAACGGCGCTCAACCAGGCCCTCGGCTCCACGCACCACGCTGGCCACTCCCTAAACTCAACGCGGCAGCTAACCCCTCCCACTGGAAGCCCGGCCCCTGTGGCCGGCCAATCACCAGCCGAGCTGCAGACCACGCCCCCCGAGAGCGTCCCGCTGCAAGACAGCTGGGTGCTGGGTAGCAATGTGCCTCTGGAGACAAGGTAAAGGGCTTCGTCTTGATTCATCTGGTCACTGGAATGTTTGTGCCGGAGCTGGAGCTGCTGCGCTCGGTGTGGCTGATTGTTGTAACGGTGGCGATGGAGGGATGCTCCCTGCACCATCCTGCAGCACCAATGTCCTCCAGCAGCTTAAATGTCCCTCACCACAACGAACTGCACACTGGGAAAAAAAAAACATGCTTAATTCCATGTTTGAATCCTTGTTTTTAGCTGTCGTTTGTTTGCATGTACGTGTGTGTGTGTGTGTTTGTGTGTGTGTGTGTGTGTGTGTGTGTGTGTGTGTGTTGTCCATGGGGGTCTCGGCGGTGAGCATTCTGTTTGGGGAATGCAGTTAAAAATGAGCAGAGCACTCCTGTTTGAAGTCTTTGTGGAATGACTTTGAAAAACAAAACGACAGAACAACAAACTGCTTTTATTATTCGATGTCGTTAATACGGAGGAGCCGTGTGAGGACCGGCGGGTTGGACTGATAATGCGCTGTGGCATCATGTGTAGAAATGCTCACTTCATGTGCCAACCGAAGACGTATTTTCTCTTTAGGTAGAACACAAACCTAGACGTACACTAAATGTGCGCTTTGTGTTTTCCGAGCCTTAAGAGTAGCAGTTGTCCTTTCAAAGCGCCGCAGAGCATCCCGAGGTCAGTGTGTGTTTCCTTTCAGCTGTGACACAGGTTTTATTGGATAATTTGAACCTTAAATCCCTATTCACTGAACAATTTGTAGCTTTCTCTTTCTGTCTTTGTCGAGCACTAATGCCCCACAGTTCTTTGATATTTTAAAAATCCCTTTTCCGTCCAGCAGAGCAGAACATCTCGCTGTTGACTGTGTAAAGGCCCATTGTTCCTTCGCCGTCCACACGCAGCCACGTACGGGAATTTACGGGCGCAACTTTGACCTTGACCCCGGGTTTACCAGACGACAGTATTTCACTCCTTCTTCCTCTTTCTGTCCTCCCTCCGTGGAGCCTTTTACCCAGAATAAAAGGCGAGTGACAGATTGATAGACACAGAGATGTCCGTCTTTGTAACTCCTAGCGTTTGTGTTTGTCTGTTTGCATGTGTGTGTTTGGCAGACGTTGTGGACTTTTGAGCGAGCCGAGCCTTGAACTCTGGTTCCAAGGCCCGGTATCCACTCAGATACGTGCACGCCGACGCAATTCACGAGGGTAGCTTCAACCTTGTGTTTTATTTGCGAGGGACAATTTGTGGTCGGTTCTTTCTTCCTTTGTTGTTTTTCTGTCTCACTCCCTTGTGTCTCGTTCCTTTGAATTTCAGCTGGACAAAACGAGGTGGTACGAGATTGATAGATGGGCAAACGTCTTTTAAAAACCACATTCACTTTGGCTGCATGTGTGTGTAGGAGGTTGTTTGGAGCTGTGGGGGAGCCAAACCATGTCGCTGGCTCAGCTTCGTATTCATGATTTTAGAGGGCGTCACATCGACTTACATCAATTTCCTGAAGACTTGCTTTAACCTGAACCCTGCCTAATCCTAACCTAAACCTAGACTTAACCTAAAACACCCTTAAAACCTAGAGCTGTACGTTATGGATGCTTTTTGTTCCCATAAGCAAACGTGGCTCAGATTTCGGTCCCCACAATGTGACTAATAGCTAAACCACACACACAGTATTCAGAGCATCATCTTTAAAAAATGAGCCCAGCCCCACCGAGGAGGCAGGCGCTGTGTGAGCGTGGTGTATATGTGAGAGTGTGTGCAAGAAATACTAAGTCCTGCTCTCACAGACAGACTTGGAGATGAAACAAGTTGTGAGGCCTTCAGGAGACGGGGTAAGAAAAAAAACTCTGAGCTTACGAGGTGGAGCTGAAAAACAAATGCCGTGTGACCCGGAGGCGCTGCCTTCATGGCAAATCAAACACATCCATCCTCTGCTGGATGCCACAGTCAGCACTCCTCTTCTGTCCCGCAGTCACAGAAATTCAACATCTTGGAAATAAATCTTTTAAACAGTGCTAATGAATGAGACTGTTATCATATCGTACAGCGATATATACGTCACAGTGTACCATCACGCCATACACCACTGCAATACCAAACATGAGGGTGCCATCCGAGGAACAGTGGTGTCAGCAAATCCCCCAAACGAAGTCGGATGTTCTCCTGTGTGGAGCACAGCAGGTGGTCGTGTTGTTCCAGTTCATAGAAAGCACCACAGTCCACAGAGTGAGGAAGTGAGGATCGCTGTAACACCGCAGACCGCTCTCTGTTTCCTACCAGTCCTTCATAACGGAGGAACCGTTGTCTTTCCCTGAAGCCCAAACAAGTCACCTTTGTGCCTTCATTTAACCAAATACGTCCTCCCATGTGCTCATAGCCTCCCATTAAAGACGGAAAAACACTGAAATAAGTGGAAATTGACAAAAAGTAATTATAAATAAAAATATAATGAGCATCATGACGTTGCTTTGAATTGTGATTCAAAAGAAATATATATTTAAAAAATAATAATAAACCAAAAAAAAAAAAAAAGCATTCAGGTATTTTGATTTTGGACCACTGCTCATCAGCAAAGTGTTTTAATTTGTCCACGACATTTTTTATTTTTTTTTAAATTATTCTTTTCAACCACAAGTCAAAAGCAACGTTTTATTTCACTGAATTATAATTTAGCAAATTTTTATTTATTATTACTTTTTTCAGTTTCTAGTTATTTGAGTGTGAATTTTGCGTTTTCTTTTTTGAGGACGACTGCATTTGCCAGATAAACACAATATTCGGATCCATGGAAAAGAACAACCTTTAGATTGAATAATAAAATGCACTGCTGGTTCTCGCCATACAGAAACCAACAGTGCATTTTATTACTTAATTTAAAGGTTGCATTGTTGTTTTCCATGGATCCAGATATTGTGTTAATCTGTATCTGATGAAACCAAGTGCTCGTCCTCATCGCGTCTGGTTGAGCGTTCGTTCTCTGTCAGGTGAAGCTTTTAGGGTTTGATACCTGAGTTGTTTAAAATACCCCACGTACTGTGTCTCATTGCTCGTCCCTTATTCACAGTAAACAGCATTCTCACATTATGCTACGAATCAGACGTGCAAATATATGAGTCAGATGTAGAATGTTAAATAAATGCATGTAAGTATAATTCCTCACAGGCCACATTAGTCACTGCCAGAAAGTGTTGGAGTGGATAGAGTTGGCCTGAAACACCAACACACACACACACACACACACACACACACACACAGGCGTCAGTATTGAGGTTATTTATTATATTAGCGGGATGCAGTTAAATTGTCTTAATTTAAATAAAAAACACAAGTCGTTGCTCGATTACGGAGCTCTGAAGACGGACAGTCAGCGTCTGAACTGATTCACATCTGAGCTTTTACATAAACTCAGAACTAAACCAGCATTTTATCGCCTCAGTAGAAACTCTGTCAGACCTTCATCTCCAGACAGAGTGGACTCCTGTCTTCTGTACCCTGAAGCAGGACTCCTTCTCATCCAGGCCTCTTCTAACAGAGGTCCAGCAGGTCTCAGGACAACGGGCCTGCACACTGATAAAGACAACTTCCCAACGAGTCCAGTGTGCTAGAATAGAATAGAATAGAATAGAATAGAATAGAATAGAATAGAATGCTGTTTATTGTCATCACACACAGCGACATTAAAAAACAACTCCAGGGGTGAAAAAATACAAGTATAAAAAAAGACAAATAAGAATATATAAATCTATTTGCTAGAGGAGCCAGTAGGAAGTAAATAAAGTCAGGAATGAACCACACGGTGGAATAAATAAATATGTTGCACTGATGAGGTGAGAACACTGTAGATATATGAGAAATAGAAATAATAATTATATAATTAGAAATGTATGCAAAATATAATATGTAATAAAATATATAATAATTATAATATAGTGTAACATAAATAATAAATCTACATGATGTGACACTCTAACAAAGCTTTGGCTCTACTGCCGGGTTTGTCTGTTTTAATTTCAGGGTGTATTTTTGGTTGTTTTTAATAGAAATATTGTCAAATGAATGATGTAATTCCAGCAGCCATTTATCCACATATAATGATGATGTAAATAAATGAAATGAATAATTTATTCAGACCACAAGGATTTTAAAAGTTCTTGCTATCAGAGCATTTTTACAAATCTGTGTAGTTACATACAGACTGTAGACACACACATGATGGTCTGCTGCTGGTCCAGTGACGGGTCAGTACCAGTGTGTGTTCAGGTTCCTCCACTTTTTATTCCCACATTACGCCTCTTCTCACTCAATTTGGCCCAAAACACAACTTCAAGCTCGGGTCAAGCTTTCAAGTACAAACCAGCGGATCGCTTTGAAACGAGCAGGAACCAGAATTTCATCAGCAGCTTAAACTCTCAGCGCTTCAGTCAGTGTTGCTCTTTTATTGGTATTGTTTAAGTGTGTGTGTGTGTGTGTGTGTGTGTGTGTGAGAGAGAGAGAGAGAGAGAGAGAAACAGCCATGGCATCACATAGACTCCGTGGTTGATCTTTGCAGACAAAACACTCACAACTGTCGCATACCGTTTCCCCAAATACTGTTCCCCGTCTGACCTTCCTACACACACACACACACACACACACACACACACACACACACACACGTCCTCCTATATTAAACATACAGACTAGGCTCATATATGGTAACCTCACCCACATTTACAGTAAAGGAGCTGCTCAGATTTATTATTGGGCTTCATATGGGAACAGCAGCGCCGCCGTCACTCAGAACTATCGCACGCTTCTCATTCATGGCAGCACACAATCTGCACAGACATCAGACTCTGGATGATGGATTTTAAATGCCTCTTCATAATCTTAAAGCTTTGTATTTTTAATTGTTTTGCATTAAAAAAAAAAAAAACAACAACTGTCATAGATATCAACTCAATTAAAAGCACTGGATGTGACAGTGGCGACGGGCGTCTCCCTGGAGGAGCCCAGAAGATTTTCCTCCTGCTTTCATGTTTGTT